GGGACATGTCCTTGTACACCAGGAATGTCCCCCTGGGATGGGGACACAGGGACAAGGACAGTGAGACCCCCGAGGGGTGGGACACGTCCTTGTACACCAGGAATGTCCCCCTGGAGGGGTCAGTTTGAGGTCACAGGGTCAGTTTGGGGTGTAGGGGGGTCAGTTTGGGGGTTCAGGGGGTCAGTTTGGGGGCTCAGGGTCAGTCTGAGGGCTCAGGGGGTCAGTTTGGGGTCTGGGGGGGTCAGTTTGGGGTCACAGGGTCAGTTTTTGGGGGTCACACCCACTTGCACTCCCCCGGCGTGTGTTTGGCCTCGTCGGTGCAGCTGTAGAACTTGCCCTGGGGGAGCGGGGGGGTCACACCGAGCCCGGCCCTGGGGGGGTTTGGGGACCCCCTGGGGGGGTTTTGGTGACCCCAGGGGGGGTCTGGGGACCCCGGGGGGTGTTTGGGACCCCACCTTGAAGAGCTGGACCCCGATGCAGGCGAACATGAACTGCAGCAGCGTCGTGACGATCATGATGTTGCCGATGGTGCGGATGGCCACGAACACGCACTGCACCACGTGCTGGGGACAATGGGGACAACGGGGACAGGTGAGGTGGCACCACGGGCTGGGGACAGGGATGGGGACAGGTCAGGGGGGCACCACGTGTTGGTGACGAACATGCACTGGACCACGTGCTGGGGACAGGGACAGGGGGTCACCAGGGGCTGGGGACAACAGGGACAGGGACAGGGACAGGGCTGGCACCATGGGCTGGGGACAGGGACAGGGACAGGGATGTCACCACATGCTGGGGACAATGGGGACAGGGACAGGGACAGGGCTGGCACCACGGGTTGGGGACAACGGGGATGTCACCATGGGCTGGGGACAGGGACAGGTCAGGGGGGCACCACGGGCTGGGGACAACAGGGACAACGACAGGTGGGTGTCACTGGGATGGGGGGACACCGGGGACAGGAGGGACACCACGTGTGTCACCAGGACAGAGGGACAACGGGGACAATGGGGACAATGGGGACACGGGGACACCGGGACACCTGTGCCACCGCGGGCACCTGAGCCACCCCAACACAGCACACCGGGGTCCCAGTGTTCCCAGTGCTCCCAGTACAGCCGCTGTCCCAGCCCCTCCCAGTACCACCAGTGCCATCAGTACAGTCGCTGTCCCCCAGCCCTCCCAGTGCTCCCAGTGCCCCCAGTACAGCATCCCCCACCCCTCCCATTGCTCCCAGTGCCCCAGTACAGTGCCCCCCCCCCCTCAGTGCCCCCAGTACAGTGTCCCCCACCCCTCCCACTGGTCCCAGTGCCCCCAGTACAGTCAGTGTCCCAGCCCCTCCCAGTGCTCCCAGTGCCACCAGTACAGTCGCTGTCCCAGTCCCTC